ACAATAGAGGCGCACACAATTTCCGAAATTTACTGATGGCGATCACGATCACGATTATGATTTGAGGGTGCATGTTCACTGTTCAGTGTTCGCTGTTCATGGTTCAGGTTGGAAACGAGCGCGCGCTTCACGTTCCCAACAATTTTCAGAAACACCTGGCTTTGGCGTGCGCCAGCATTCCGGCGTTCCGGATAATTGAATTTCGATCGGAATCGATATCGCGTATCATGAGGTCGCTGCGTTTGAATGCTTGCGATGTAGGTTTGACAGATTTTACATTTCATCCGCTATTCATTCCGCATCTTAAAGGAGGGGTTATGTATGAGTATAGTTGGTTGCATAACTTTTCACTTTTGAAGCAAATTCTTATTGTTTTTAGACATAAAAGTATTACTTTAAACACGGACAGCCAAAGTTGTGACTAAAGAACTTTAATCACGAGTTTTAGTCACGGGGTGGAGCAAAAACTCTTTTTTAATCACTTAATACTTAAAATACTATTATTTTATGTTTGAATTTTGTGATTTATAAAAAGTACCTCAAATCTTTTGACTTTAACAGGGTGGAAATGTTGCAGCATGCAAAATTGATGCCATCGGACGTGGCATGACACCGAAAAGTGCTCTCGGTTAATAAATTCCAGCCACTTTAACTCCACCCTACCCTCTACACTCAACTCACCCTTAACTCAAAGCTTCCAAACAACTCATGACATCTTTAAATATTTACACATAAAATTTAGGGGTTGAAAATTTTTTCAAGAATCAACTAGCTAAAAAAGAGAACTTTAGTCACGGCCGTGACTAAAATACTTTTTTTTCCAAAAAAAAAAATTATTTTGCTTTTATTCCAACCACAAAACTTCTTATCTTTATTACTTTATTACACTGTCTTTAATGGGGTAGTAATACGTTGATATATGAAGGGGTGGAAGTAAACAAGCACATTTGTTACCGCGCTAATCGATGGATTATGCTCTAGATTTCGGCGGTTATAAAACCACCACTACAATATTTTTCTTTCATTACATTTTCTCATCCAACGCTTATAAATCTGCAAATAAAAAAAATAGGGGTGAGTTATTGATAGCATTGCAATGGACTAGACCAAAGTAGGACAATGAATATTTCAAATTAGAACAAAGCAGTCAAACGAATGTAAACACAATCGCCGACGCCGATAAATGGAAATGATACACAGTCAATTTTAAGGGATGCGGTTGGGGGGCGGGGGTGAATGCGGGGATAAAAACTTGACTCGCCAGACCGACAGACAGACAGACTCGATTAATCAATATTTTCTTCCAGTGAAGCGTAAACCGTGAATAATATAAAAGCTTTGATTCATTTGAAAAAAAAAAGATTTTAACACGAAAAATGCTGTTTAAAGTAATTTAATTAATGAATAGATTAAAAAACTCATAAAACTAAGTGCAAACTACACGAAAGCTCACTTCCATGACATCGTTGTGCTTTGTTAAAATTTGTTTCACTTTGTTTTACCTTATTTTACTTTATTTACCTGTCCAAAGGTGGAAATACACCGTGTATGCATATTTATAAATCATCCCCGTCTAGACGTAGGGGAAGAATTTTTGTGTACTTGGAATAATTAGCATTTTAGTGCTCGGCAGTCCGCGGCGCGCCCTGCACGTAATTAATTTTCGGCGTGGATTTATTTTCGTCCTCGATAAATATTTATCTTCATTAAAACTCCAGCAGAAGGTCTTAATTATTTCTCTGGCGTGCAAGAAAACAAAACATCTAAATTAATTTGAGGCAGATGAAAGAAAATCACCACTACTGCCATCTATCGTCTTTTTAGAAATTAATTTTAAGTAATAGAGTGTTTTGATGCGTTAGGGGAAATCAGATTATTGTGGAATTATGAAATTGTTAACTTTCTGCTATCAACGCATCGATTTATCAAGTTGAAAAGCTCAAACTCTCAAAATCGCCAATGTTGGCGAAAATTATCTTACGCGTTGTGAGAGAAAAGCGAAAGAGTAGCTGGTGCAAGGTGAAAGCTCTCCGGGCAACGTTGGCAACCAGTAAAACGTTGCCGAGGTGAATTAGCGATTAGCGCACAACATCCTGCTGCGGACAAATGAAGCAGCGATCGAAGGCACGGCTGCGGCGCCAACTTTATTCACTTCGTGCAGCTTTTGATTAGTTTTTATCCGGCGTCTCGCACAAAAGCTCACGGCGTAAAAAATGGAATGCTTGGCTTCGTCGATTAATTGCGCGAGCACTTTTTTGTTTAATTGCTATTAAAAGCTCAGGATAAAAGTTCAAAAAGCTCACTTAAGTAATAAAAAATTATAACATAACCTATTTTATAGTTTTAGTTCCAAAAAATATAATTTTTAATTTTTTAAAGAAAAATTAGAAAAAAAGCCAAAAAAAACTAAAAAAAACTCACAAAAATAATTAAAAAATTATAACATAACCTATTTTATGGTTATAGTTACAAAAAATATATTTCTTAATTTTTTTAAAGGAAAAATAAGGAAAAAAGCTCAAAAAACTCTCAGAAATAATAAAAATATTGAACATAACCTATTTTATGAAGATACTAGCTTTAACCCTTGGCTTCGCTCGCGAATATCTAAAATAATGAAGTTGCTTCCGTACGCGTCTGTAGTCACAGAAGAAGTAACAATGAAGTAGAATGGCGGGAAGTTTAAAATGGCTGAAAGTATAGTCTATGGAAGTATAGTGTACAGTCTCCATAGTGTAGTCAATTGGATTTGATGTTGACGGAGCTGTCGGTAATACAGTGTGATAATACAGTGTGATGGTACTATAGTACTTAGGTTTGAGCTTCATTGCTGGAATGCTAGATGGCGTTAAAGTAGTCAAATAGCCAGATGCAGAGGTATTATTGGCTAAACAATTTCTTTATTTTATTTAAAAAATATTTTTTTTTATTAAATAAAAAGTAGCCTATAACCATTCGGGGACCCCTAAGAATATGTGTACAATTTTTCATGATGATCGGTTAAGTAGTTTATGCGTGAAAGTGTAACAAACATCAGGACTTTCGCATTTATAATATTCGTAGGGATTTACAAAAAAAACATATAATTTTTAATTTTTTATAAAATAAAATTTAAAGGATGTTTCTAAGGGTGGCTTTTAAGGGTTGTTTCATTATTATTTAAGATACACCGTAATTTCATGATCAAATTAAGTTATCGTGTCCTGTCGTGTCGTGCCGAATGTGGAACAAAGTTTATAACTCATTTTCGTCGATGATAAGACCGAAAGCTCGCGGGCCACGCAAAAACTAGATTAACCGAGGAGGTGGCGCACGACGCGTCGTCACCGGCACCTCCACCGATGATAACGCAAACTTTTCCAATATCTGCGAAACTTTCGGCGAGTTTTGCGCATTGCGAACGTCGAAATGAGACAAACGAACCACCGCAGTTCATTAAAACTACCCTGGAGAACTTCACCTCGCAACTCGAGAGTTATTATCGTCACATCAAACTTTCTACAAAAATTTCAAACAATTTTTACACTTATAACGTAAAATAGTTTGTAGTTTGTGATTGCATAACCTCAAAATGTCATTAATGCATGTTAACGATCGAGTTATAGTGAGTTGAGTTATGCAGTCATAGATGGCGCTGGTGTAAAGTTTACGAGCGCAAGCGTTGCACTTGCTGCTCAATAGGTCAACGATTATTACCCTTCTGACTATTAATCAACGCTCGGAACAATGTGAAATATAAATTAGGGTAAAGTTTAGGAATTTTAGGGAAAACAATAAAAATATGACGGAAATTTTGTTAATATCTGCAAAACGTCTGCAAAATGTCATGAATAAATAATTGTTTGTCGCATTGGTGTTTAGTTCCATGGGGTGTAATTAAAAACAGGTGCACTCACATAGTTTATACAAAATTAACACAAACGCTAACGATTCACTGGTTATTTCAACGCCCTGCGCTGGGAATTCAAGTTTATTAAACGTTGAATATATGAGTATTCAATACTCGTTTTCATAAATCTCCAATGGAGAAAAAATTCACAATACAAATGAATAAATAATCGCCGCTCAATATCCTCGAATAATCCGCGGATTTCCGTCGCTGTCAGCTCGAGTATTAATCAAAATGAAATTTTAAATATTTGTTTTCCTCTGATTTTGCTTCCATGCGTCGAGATAGACTATATATGATGCACTTTGTAGTTTGGGTTGCCTATTTAAGCTTTCGAAAATGTTAGTCACTAATTGGCACTAATTAATGACACGCCGTCATGACAAAAATGAGCGCAGTGTGTATATGTGTGTTTGTGTGTGTTTGTGTGAACAATACCCGGCGGACGCACTCATTAATTACATGAAATATTAATTACGCACATCGATTGCGCTGCGCGTGTATTTCTAACGAGATGGCGGCGGACGCATTCCACCTTACATGCTGCTCTCTTTGTAAACACGCCACCGCAAGTATCTACGAGTAGAAACAACTTCATATTTCTAAATTTGTGTTGTGCTCGGCAATCGATTTATTGATTTCGTACCGTGACGATAGTCTACATTTTCTACGTGCGTAACACACATTGTTCTACTCGTATATAAAACTGCATTACAGGTTTCTGTAATTTTAAATTTAAATTTTCTGTAAAATTTTCTGAGTTTTTGCAGGAAAACAAAATTTTAAAAGCTCGTTTTGTAATTACGCGGTGTTTACGTTAACCGGTTAACCTGATAATAAGCTCGAGCGCTCGCCGCGTGAAGCGTGAATAAATAAAATTGTAAAATATGTACGCACGTTCGACGCCAACTTTTACGGCTGTCTGTCGCGCTGGATAATGAGAAAATTTAAATGTCCGCGCACGTAGCCGGTTTTAACTTTACAACACGCGTGTTGTGTTCAAATCGCAACTAGTATGAGTTTGTAGCTTTTAACGTTGTTTCGAGTTTAATACTTTTATGTAGGCAACCAATATTACATTACATTACAGTTGCATGTGTTTTTGTTGCAGAGTCAGGCAGACGATAGAAGAGGGAGGGGGGCGCACGCCGTAAAGATATGAGTAGTCAGGACGAGACCGCCAGCCTGCTTGTAGGACCGCCGCTGACGAGCTCCCCATCGCCCTCGAACTGCTCCAAACCGGTGCTTATGCGACAGGAATGCACCACCTTTCTCGTCTCCAGCCCCCATCCGCAACTCTCCGTCTTCTCCGACAGCGATGAGGAGGGATCTGTGTGCCTCGAGGAGAACAGCACCCGGTCCGTGCCGGACATAGAGCTGCACTGCAGGTACAACCATTTCAACCCCTATCAAAAAAAAAAAAAAAACAAAAACACATACACGATGAAGATTGACACACCAACGACGAGAAAATGTAATATTTTATTCTTTGACAAAGTTTACGCATAAGGTGACGTGCAGTAAAAGTTTTTCGGAAATGATTTTGGGTCGTGCGATGACTGCAGCGCCACCTACAACAAGAACCAGCGCTATCTTGCGCGTGGTTACGCTGTGACATTGATGGAGTATCGCGCGGAATGGGAAATGGAGTTTCAGATTCGATCGAGATGTTTTTTCCTGGCGGCGAGTTTTCCTGCCAGTGTAGTGCAAGCCAGGCAGTGGTTGTGGCTTCGTTGCAATCTGACGCCATGCGTCAAGTTAACACATGTGCAATGTGCATTGTGCCACGTGTAATTCATGACACACCCAGCCATTTACAAAAATCATTCAATATTTTCACATATTTTATATCCTTATCACTTTTAGTGCTTTTCCCGCAAAAACATATAAACCGGAAAACCGGAAATGAAATTTACAACATACAGAAAACTACAAATTTTCTTTATAGAATTTTTTATTTAAAAATTTAAAGTAAAACTTTTTTTTTCATTTTACGAAACCGGAAGTAGAATATTTTTTATTTTTTATAAATATTTTAAAAGTTAAACATTGTTAAAAGTAATTATTATAACCTTGTTTGTGTAGATAGTGTTTCAAGAGTAAGAAAAGCACGATTGATGTGCTTTCCGGTGGTGGGTGGCGTAAAAGGTGTACGGCCCAAGGTCTTGTTTATTATTTATTCCGGCTGGCTATTTATTAGTTTTCCAGAGGTCGGTGCCTCATTTCGAATTGATGAACAATTGATTTTCAGCTTTAATATTTCACTTTTCCGCTCGGCCTAGTAACATACTGGCGCACATAACGGAAAACTAAAATCCACTCACACAAAATTTAATTTTTTTTGTTTTATTAGTTATATTTTATTATTTTAAACAAATTTATAATATTTTTGTTTTATTTTCCGGTTTTCCGGTTTTCCGGTTTGCTCATCATCTTTAATATGCTTCAACATCTTAATTACATAACATCGTTATCGTCCGTGCGCATCAAGTAAAATTAATTTCGTTTAATGCGTCGGAAAACAATTACTCGTCATTCTGTACCCTAAATTATATTTCCGGCCAAAGTTATTAATTTGTCCGTTAATTGAAAACGTAGGCGTTCACGATGCGTTCGACCATCAAAAGCACAAAATTATGCATCGCATCAAAATAAAGCTAATCGAGCGGAAAAACAAAGTTGGACGCTGCTCACCAAACCGGAAATAACTGATGTAGGTACGGTGTATTATTCAGTGCATAATTTTCCCATCGCCAATATTTCATTTTCTGCAAACAAAAGGCGAACGTATAACGCGTAGAATGGAGAAATATGCAGCTGAACGTTTTCCGGTTTTCGCATGCAATCCAAGCGTTTTTTTGCTAATCTCGCCATGAGCTGCGGGTTAACTCCGGTGGGATTTAGCCGGTCAGTTATTTCAGGCCGGTTTAATTCTATAATGCGGCGGGTGAAAGGAGAGAACAAAGAGATGGCGGCAAAACGTGAATCCGGAAAAGCGGAAAATAGAGATTGCTAGTGACATATGCACGTGTGCAATTGACGAAGGTTGCGGTAACAAAAAAAAATAAGGAAAAAAATATTTTTTGGCATTTTACGTGAAAATTAAGCAAATTATCCTTAAAAAATTAAATCAACGATAACAAACATAAATAACACATATATAAATGAATGAAAGTCGTGACCTACTCTCAACTTTCAACCCTTCACCTGTGCTTAGCATGTGTATCCTGTTTTGAGTCCTTTTCCCTTTCCTGTGCCTCCGCTTGTTCTCACACAGGACGTGAATGCTTATCGACGCATTTTCTCAACTTGCGCATGCTCTTAAAGTGCTCGCCGCGTTCACGAACACTGGAAAGTCTTAAAAACTCGTCGTGCATTTTCTTCGTCGGCGTATTCGTATCCTTAATGGCGAAAATAACGGAAAATATGCAGCGCCGCAGACCGCAGGAAATCGAGTTAGGAGTCGCGCGCGCCTGAAATTGCGGAATCGCTTCTTTCCATCGCCGACGGACGCCGGCATGTTTTGTGTATACTTTATACAATTTGTACACTTTGTGTGCGGCGAAAAACGAAAATAATTCCAGCGGCAAATTGATGCTAATTAAATTTCGAGGCTGGTGAAAGCAAGATATCAGAAAATATACTTAAATACATTAAACTACAATCGGATTACAATATTTAAGATAAGGTGTATAGTTTATAGACTATAGGCAACCAGTATTACGATTAATGTATGTTGGGTTGCAGATAATAAAATTATTTTTTCTTAAGTGTATGTCGAATGAAGAATCAAACATTTAAATTAATTTTAAAATGTAAAATAAAACAAATTAATGTTTGATTAAGGTAAACCGGAAATGCGGAAAACAAAAAATATATTTATTCTTTAAATTTAACACCGGGAAGAAACCGGAAGACGAGAAAATAATTTTACTATATTTTCTTGAAAATTAAGTTTTGTAGGCAACCAACATTACATTTTACTTTTAATATTTGTATATTGGGTTGCATATATTATATTTTTTCCGTTTTGGCGCATATACAATAGTATCGATTCGGTAATTAATTATATTAAAACGGATATTGATATCAATGACTCATTAGTCGATGGAATGCGTGATGTAATGTATGCGCCGTGCATAATTTGATCGGACGGCGATCGGACGACGACTTATGGCTTCAGCGTAATGTGCGAGTAATTGATCTATTCCTCAAACACACACAATCATAATTAACATACACACGCAACATCTTAAATTAAGCACAAATTTATTAAACATTTTTTATGTTTTCTTGCAACAATTTTAAGACAAAATCGTCAATAATATTGAAAATTTTAATTTAAAAACATTAGAAATAGTAATAACACACCCTAGCGCCATCTGGATATGAATTATATAAGTATAATTATGAAAAAATTTCAATATCAACTTTCATCCCTTATTTTACACCCTTTGAGAATAATTTTTGGAGTAAAAAGTAGCCTATCTCTTTTTCCATGACCAAAAGTATCTTCATACCAAAATTTATCAAAATTAGTCAAATGGTTTTCACGTGAAAGCAAAACAAACATACAAAAACCTCCAATGTGCATTTAAACTATTACTTACTGCAACAGTGAAGCTACAAAAAACTTCTCATAATAAGAAAACACATCCTACAAGTGTCTGTAACAAAAACCATTTTTGGCAAACACAACGATTTACTCTAAACCAACAAAAGCTCTTAACTTTAAAGCGAATACTAAATATTACACACTGCAAATATGGTAGCTGCTAGCACTTCCAGAAAACCTAATTAACTTGACTGTTTTCGTTAGTGGGTTTTCGCATGTGAATATTTCATTAAGGTGCACACAGTGCTCTCGTTAGAATTACGAGCGGCGCCCAAGTAAAAAGGACGAAAGGACGAAAATGGATGTTGAAGTGATGGTATTCCTTTAATTGGAATCGTGCGTGCACTAGCAATTAACGCGCGACGCTGAAATAGTGAACATAAGTGGGTGCTTGCCCATCCACCATTTCACTTCACTTTGTGCCTCTTGTGAATAATAGACATCAGCGCGCATCGATAAATGTCTTCCGCAGTGTTCTTACCTGCTGGCGTTTTCGCTCGGCATTTTCTACTCGGATACTTTCTTTCGCGCAAAGCACGCGAAGAGCTTTAAACGCTCGCCGCTATCGTTTTATCTCTTTTTGTGCGCGTTCAATATTCGACTCAACTGCTTTAACGTTTATCAAAGCGTATTTAGTGCTTTTCAACCCTTTTGCTACCTTTAGGAGGCCGCGCTTTCATCTTGGGAGCTTTTTTTCGAGCTTATTTTAGTGGAAACATAAGCTTTTAAACAAGTTTTAAGGAGATGGACACGTTTTTATTTGATCTCAATTTATTTTTGGTTATTTGCATAAAGTTATTGATAAATTTTTAGTTTTTTTCTAATTTTTTTGGGAAAAAATTCAAATTTTTGCAAAATTTTGGGAATTTTGAGGTTATTTTTGAGATTTTGAAAGTTTTATCGATGAAAATATTGTTTTTGAAATAGTTTTTAATATGTCAGTTATATTTTCAACTATATACAATATTTTTTGTCTTTTTACGGCGAGTTTTTGAGTTTTTTGCAATTTTTTTTCTAATTTTTTGCAAAAAATTACCGAAATTAACAAAAATCAAACAAAAAATTATTTTTTGCGCATTCCTTGCACTAACTATTTAATAACCTAACTTTTAATTAATTTTTGCTTATTTTTACAGGTTTTAATTCATCTTTGAGCTTTTTTTTCAAAAAAATTTTCTATTTACAAAATAGTTGCATTGATATAAAAGCATAGCAGAAACAAAAATTCTATTCAATGGAACTTTCGAGCTTTCAGCATTTTTTAATTGAAAAACATACTGACCGGAAGTTGTTTATTTTCCCCTCACACACGATGCACACAGCTCCACCTACAAACGAAAAAAAGCAACAACAACCCAGTAGTGGCCCTCTCATCTCCGATCTCTAATGCAGTGTGTTTTCTTTTCTGTTTGTTTTCGGACGACGGTGCCGACGGTGTGTGTGCTTGGATCGATCTCTCGGAATTAATAGGCTAGATCCGAAAGGATGCAAACAGAGCCTGCCGGCGAACCATCCGACGCGCAACCGCAGCTCGTCGAATGCGTTCCAGCTCGGCTCGCACTCGTCGCCGAGGGGCCTGCTGGAGCGGCGCACGTCGTCGCAGGCGCCGGCGGCGTCGCTAAAAATCATGCGCTCGGTGTCTAGGGAATCGTTACGCTCGCCACATCATTGTACATGCCCATGTCTAAACGCTCCGGTAAGCCAAAAAAAAACGCGTCACATTCAAAAAATAACCGGAAATCATCCATTAACACCGGCCATCTTTAAAATTTTTAGTTTTTAAATAATTTTTCTTCATTTACATTAACTGAATGTACATAACACATTACATAACCTCTCCAACAGCGAAAAAAAGCTTTCAAAAGCTCGCTTAAAAGTATATGACGCGTAAAACGCGCGAGCTTTCGCGGTTGACTACACTAACCACCATCTTGTATATCGTAAAACCAAAACATGCACTGTGTGTGAAATATTTAACCTCACTCTATGTATATATACACTGATTAACCTTCAACCTGTAACCTAACCTCACTTCTTCTGTCAGCGTAAATATAGCGTTGAATGAAATAGTCGATTTCATCTATATGATCCTTCTACTTCTACTTCTTGTCTTTCTACGTGTACCACTATTAATATGTGTGTCATTCATTTACTAATTAACTAATGAACACACTGTTTACATTATTCTAAATAACCTACGATAAATTATTCAATAACACGCGTGAAAGATGAGAATTTTATTCAGAAAAGCTTATATAGGCAACCAGACATACGCAAACTTAAAAGTTCACACATTTATTGACATTACACATCGCATAACCTCAATTTTACTCTATTATAATCTATTTACGCCCATTTTAGTGTCGGTAGTTGGTCGCACTCCAACTCTGGGTGCACCCTCAGTGGAAGTAGACTGCTGAGCAATGGTAATAACCATAATAATAATTCAACCCCCTTGGTGCGGTGAGAACAGCGGGGGCGCACTGAATTTTGTATGTGCATGTCGTGCGGTTTGGGAATACCGGCGAGCCCGCGGAGAAAATTATCGGGGTCACATCGAACGAATGTTTGAAATAGTTTTCTATCCTCTACACAAGTGGAGTACTCATCGTGAATAAATCAATAGATTCGATAAGATTATTTCTTCTATAAATATTTTCGAGAATATATTTTTATTCGTTCATTTAAATTCCGCTAGAGTTTCAATATAACTTCCAATACATTCATCTAATAGCAGCCATGCGGGCGAAATGTTAACTAACGCGGTACGTCTGAAAACGTATGACTTTTCATTCGGTCGAGCTTCCGCTGGATCTAAACTCATTGAAATTTATACGTTAGGCAGCCAAATACACATTGCAAACACGTACAGCCTTTTCATGGTAATAAATAGCACTTCTTGGCTTGGTCATTGAGTGTGTTATAAAAATTCTTTAAAAATCAGGTTGTATTGATAAAATATTCATCTGCGGTTATCATTACGTCAATTGTATACCCGAACGATGAATGTTTAATATCCATGGTCTGCCATCAAAGAAAAATAAACAACAAAATCAATTTCAATTGAGATGTATTTCATTATTAAAATGACTGCACTTAAAAGCACTCTAGGCAACCAAATCAACAAAAATAACTTTTAGTGCATTTTGATGATATGCAACCGAATCAAATAAACAAACAAAACAAAATGGATGATTGTGATTTCGTTGAACAATAGATGATTAACTACCACTCACTGTTGTCATGTGTCATCCGTTAGAAAACATTATGACCGCCATTTCTATTTCTATTTCTACGCTCGCCGGTTTTAATTACTTAATGGCGGAGAACTTAAATAGCGGCGTGAATTATTAATGAGATCCCAACGAGATTACAACGAATAAATGCGATTACTAACCACAAAAGCGAAAAAAAAAAGTTATTCTGAATAAAATTTTCACTTAAATTCAATCATAACCTCAATTATGCACTATTTTAAAACTCACTTATTTGCAACACTTCAATCATGTGTTTAAAACGTTTAGAATTGTTTGTGTTTGTGTCCTGATGATTAAAAACTGCACAATTAACACAATGACCTTGAGAACCTTGACTTAATGAGTTTTTAGACTTAAGCGTTGAACATTACTAAAATCTACAAATAAAAACTAAAAAAATAAGCAAATAATAACCTAAAAAAGTATGTATAGATAAATCTGTCTTCAAATTTGATTTTTATTCGTTTTTTATCGCACGTATGCATGAATGTCTTAGACTTTAGACTTTTATAGAAAAAAACAATATCTAAATGTATTTTTAGCATGCACGTAGTTGTTACATGTTAAATTAGTTGATTAGCACCTGTTCGAATGACCGACAGCCGGAAAAAACAGCGAAACGCATGTTTATGCCCCGCCCACAACACCGTGCGCTACTTATGTGCGTCCGAGCAATATAAGTTGCCTAACTAATATGAATCTGTTTTAACAACCTGTCTAACCACTCTTTTAATACACGTATATTTTTTCTTTTTCTTTTTTTGGTTTGTACGATGGTATAAAAAGAAACATTAATACTTCTTGTGGTTTTGTGGCATTTTTATGGTATTCGGTTTTTATGAGAATGAAAACTGAGAATATGAGAATGATATTCACGCTGGAAGCCGTAGAAACAGCAAAGAAATACTTTGGCCACTTTTATTAGTTCCTTATTTAATTAAAAGCGCCGCGAGACTTGAAAACTTGCAATCGTTTGCCAAGAAATGCAAACACAATTTCAGTTATGTCGGCGTAACGTATTCAATTAACTTTTTTGTCGCTTTTTGCAAAAATTTTGTGAAAAAAAAAATTAAAAATAAAAAACTAACAGTTTGAGAGTTAAATAATTAAAATTAAATTTAAACATGGAATTTGAATAATTAATTAACCACAGCAGGTGACATTAATTTTAAATAAATTATTCAATTAAAAACCGAGTTGATAGCGGGTTTTAAACACTCCTCCATATTGATTGACATTTATAATTCCGCGAATCGTTTAATTTCCACCCCGAACTTTATAAACTTGGAATTAATTAAAATGATAAATTAGAACAAAACTTCCCAGCCCTAAAAGTACCAAAATTTATTTTATTACTACTATTTTATTATATACAGAGTGTTTAAAAAGAAAAATGTCTCAAAACCCACAAAATAATTTTCTGTTTTTTCTTTTCTGATTATTTTATTAAATATGAATGAAAGAAGAAGAATAAGGTAGGAAAAATGACGCCCAAGGGTAGTCTTGGAGTTAACATGGGTGGGTGGAGAGTAGTACACGAATGAAACCATTCCTGCAGGTGTGCAGTTGTTGCCCGGCGGGCGGGACGCCAGCAGGCGCGCGCATAATCCGTCAAAGTTCGCAGCCGGAGGCTGCAACCAACAACGCGTGCTGCTGCTGCGCGAGCGCCGCCTGCACCCATGGCGTAACAGGGGGCGGGGCAGCGGGCGGCGCCGCCGGTGGCTCCACCTCGCTGCGTCAACTGCGCGGAGACCATTCGGATGGCGGGATCGCCGGCATCGCGGCCGACTCGCTGCGGATCAACGGCGCCTTTCGGACACTCCGACAGGTAACACCATCCCCACCACAAATAAACCACGCCCATTGATATTTAATCAAATTAAAATTAAAAACTAACCTAGCATGTGATTTTGATTGTTTTTCAAAACTACACAAGTTTTTAAATCCGTTGAATTAATCCGACTATTTTGGTTTGGTTTACTTTTTGAATGTTTGCTTACGCACGAGTTTTATTTATTTATTTGTGTTGATTGTATTTTTGTGAGTTTACAGGAAAAAGAGAAAAAGCAACATATTCAGGGTTTTAGTGTTTGGAAGCGGTCCAAATCTCCACTTTCTAAATCTGATTCAAAATGGCGTCGATAGATATAAACTGCGCTCTGTATTACCGACATAAACGAGATTTTAGTAATGCTCAGCCTATTGCACTCACTCTAACTAAATTCATGTCTTTACTCTAACTCTAACCTCAAACCAATGAGTGTGTGTGTGGGCACAAACAAAAATCAATCAATCAATCAATCATGTTCTTTTATTTCGTGCTCATAACCTCATTTGATTTCTAGTGACTTTTTGTTGTGTTTTGTCTTAATTATGATATAATATGTGAGATAATTAAAAAATGGCCGATCTGGGAGATAAAGATTTGAGAGCTGAAGGTGCTATCCAACAGGGCTCGGGACTGCTGATGTCCTCGCAGACGATGTCGCAGGCGCGCCGCGCCCGCCTGAAGCGCGCCCTCACGGAGGTCACCAGCGACACCGTGTGCTATGTGAGAGAGAGAGGGGCGTCAGACGCTCCGCCTCCACCCCTTTAGATAAACTCCGCCCCCTTTTACACACACGCCTCTAGTGCACTTTAACTCCACCCTCTTCAACAAATATTATTATATCACACATCAACACTATAAATATTTATAGATATCACTGATATTCCGGTTTGTATTTCCGGTATTCCGGATTGACAGCTTTCCGCATCTGCATCGGAGTGACTCGAGTGGCACGAGTTCGATTGTGAAATGCGCGTTATTACCTACGTGACCTACGGCGGGGCACGTTTTGCCGATACCCGGAAAAGCGGAAAACACTGCTGCATACTGCAGTACACGACACGTGCCGGAATTTAATATTACACACATTTCACGAATTCACATCACTACGCATGTTCGCTTTTGTTCCTTTTAATGATATTGCCATCATTTATATTTTTTAGGTTAGAAAAAAGCATTCTAACCTCACTTAACAAAAGAATGTCAACAAAAGGATCAAAGTACTCTGACGATACAAAGTCAACACTTTTTTACAACTCCACCACCCTTGAAGGACTTCTCTCATTGTTGTCTTGAACAATGGCACCGGCTATTGTGGCAGGGAAAGAAATCAAATGTCATAATTTAAAATAAAAGTTCAAGGCCAACGAAGCTTGAAAGTTATCTTTATGACGATGATTTTCGTCCGAATGGCAATATCATTAACCCCACTTTGCACCCACTTGACAACTACCACTTCTATGCTCTTCTGGCTCCGCCCCTCGCTCAACTTTACTACTTCACGCCGCCATTGAACGGCTCTTAGAGTAATTGCTTGATCTTTATTCCCTATACTTGCGTGCTTCTTTATTACTCTTCGGATTCTTCGCGCGGACGCTGCTCGAGTGCCGCGCGGAATTCGCTTTAATTGCTCTCACGGTGATTACACGTCGAACGTAATTCGTATTTGACAAATTATCGAGTCGTTAGGGAGGAGGTTATAACGCATAAACTTAGAAGTTCAAAGGGTTGCATATAGTTAAGCGTAAATTTAGATTAATATTGAGGTTATGGATAATTTAAAGCAGGAAAAAAAGAAGAAAAGTGAGGTTATTTTATGTAATAACCATTTTTAAACACATATAAAGTCAAAAAACTGAAAATTACGCAAATATAACCTCTAAAAATGCATTTTTGTCAAAAATAAACGAAAAAGAAGAAATTTTCACTAAAAATAAAACGTGTAGATGAAATTTAAGGTTATATAACCTCCAATTGCATTTTGAGGTTATAAAAACACTTAATTTGACTTTTAAGGTTATGTTCGACGATGTAATCGCCCTCTTCCACCTAAATTTCTAACTAAATCAAAAATCTATTTCTTGCACATTGAAAACGCAATCAAATCATATTATGTTTATGAAAATTCGTCGCAAAACCAAAAAATAAAAGAAAACAACCCCTCGGCGTAGTAAGGAGGCACGCAGATTGTACATATATCTATAGTAAACCACGTGTATACTCGAAAAGACTAGTTTCGTAAGCTGTTCAAATATTTATATCGCTTTTATTGATTCGGCCTACTGCTTGCCAGATATGACGAAACTCAAGATGGCGTCAGACAAAGCCAAACATAGCAAGAAAAAACCGTGAACACAAGCACAAAATATGAAAAAAAACTAAAAAATACGAAGAGATAGACACACATGCATGAATAGTTGGACAGCGTTCAAAATGTGGTTTATCAGCGTCCCACGACAAAGGAATTTATTGCCACGTGGAGAGTGAGCACGCTTAGATGTAGGTCTAGATATAGATCTCGCACACCACCAACAACAAACCAGCAAAATAAGCAAATTAGAGTGGCGGCTCCTAATGAAGCCACTTGTCTGTACATAAATAAAAAACACGCACATAACGCTTATCTGTAAATACGTGCGTATGTCGTGTGTACGTGTGTGTGATGTGTGTGCATTGTAGAAATAAGGTTATGTACGAGATTGTGCTGACATCTGGCGGGTTTCAGTTGCGGAAGCCAGCCTCCACGTTATCCATCCCTGGCGCAATGAAGAACTCCAATCGTGATTCGAGTGGCGCTCGCGTTGGTCAAGAGGAACCCGGTGTTGCATTGGTCGGGCACGTAGACTACCCAAGATACATGGAGGAACGAACGCTGGGCGGCAGTGTGTACAAGTCGGGGTCGTCGGGCAGCCTTAAGCACAAGCCCAATGTGGGTTATCGCCTTGGCAGGCGTAAGGCCCTCTTTGAGAAGCGCAAACGTATTAGTGATTATGCGCTGGTTATGGGCATGTTCGGGATCATCGTGATGGTCATCGAGAATGAGCTCTCCAGTGCTGGTGTTTATCGCAAGGTGAGCTATGCGCACTCCATGCACACAATACAGAACAGTGTCTTCACCCATCGTTAATATACCTAGACGTGCCTCATTTTGCAGGAGGAATTCTACTCAATCGCGCTCAAAACTCTGATATCCGTATCGACTGTGATTCTCTTGGGCCTAATCGTGGCCTATCACGCTTTAGAAGTGCAAGTAAGTTCGGCACTGACGTGTTACGTCCTGTGAACGTCTCAGAGGTCATCGTTGCAATGCGAATTTGTGAATTCATCCATTTTGAAACATTTTTTGTACATTTATGTATACACCCTGTATTAATTTTGTTTTTCTCCTGGAAAGCTTTTCATGATAGACAATTGCGCTGACGATTGGCGCATAGCAATGACCTGGCAGAGGATCAGCCAGATCTCGATGGAGTTACTGATTTGTGCTGTACACCCAATTCCGGGACACTACAAGTTCGTGTGGACAACGCGATTAGCAAACAAAAGCGGTGGGACCGGTGTGAAATGTGTGCCCTATGATGTCCCGCTATCGCTACCGATGTTTCTGAGGTTATATCTCATCTGTCGAGTGATGCTGTTGCACAGTAAGCTGTTCACGGATGCCTCGTCGAGGAGTATTGGTGCTTTGAACCGCATCAATTTCAATACCCGCTTTGTGCTCAAGACCCTAATGACCATCTGTCCGGGGACTGTCCTATTGGTGTTTATGGTCTCCCTGTGGATCATTGCCAGTTGGACTCTTAGACAATGTGAAAGGTACCAAACCGGAAATCATCATAACCTTAAAATTTTACAGATGTTTTTTTTTTGGTTAGGTTTCATGATGAGGAGCATGCGAATTTATTGAATGCAATGTGGTTGATCGCTATAACCTTCCTAAGTGTGGGTTTCGGAGACATTGTCCCGAATACTTATTGTGGAAGGGGTATAGCAGTTAGTACTGGTATAATGGTAAGAGGTCATGTGAATATGTAGGCAACTGTTTTTACTTATTCTTGTGCGGTGGTTTTATTAGGGTGCCGGATGTACAGCACTGCTGGTGGCGGTGGTCTCCCGCAAACTGGAGCTCACCAGAGCAGAGAAACACGTCCATAACTTTATGATGGACACGCAGCTCACAAAGCGGGTGAGTAAAAACCACAATTTCATCAGTGGAGAACATAACCTACATAACCTACATATTGTTTTCTCTAACAGTTGAAAAACGCTGCGGCGAATGTGTTGCGGGAAACCTGGCTGATATACAAGCACACAAGGCTAGTGAAACGTGTGAATCCCGGACGTGTACGCACTCATCAAAGGAAATTCCTACTTGCCATCTATGCGTAAGTTGGGTTGCCTATGTTATATCCACAAATATAATATTTTTATTTGTTTTGTGTTTGGTTAGATTACGAAAAGTAAAGATGGATCAACGGAAGTTGATGGACAATGCAAACACCATCACCGACATGGCAAAGGTGATAAAATGGCCGCCGTGAATTATATTTAATAATACTATTTTTGTTTGTTTTTTTCTTGTGTTGTGGAGTAGACACAAAACACTGTGTATGAAATAGTGTCGGATATGAGTTCACGCCAGGACAGCCTCGATGAACACCTCGGCACACTCGAGGATAAACTGGTGGCGCTGCAGGAGCAGCTGGAGTTGCTGCCCGATTTGATCGCGAATCGAATACAGGCGCATGTAAGTCGCGGACGAACGCCATGAAAACCAATAAGTGACAAGCAAATGGCGTTCGTTCGCAGTGATCGCTCTCATTCTCACTACAGAATCACCAATGACACATTAGACATTCCCATTGACTACAGAGGGCGCTGGCTGATTGATAGAAGTAATAATATTCAGTTTATAGTTTAAAGTTAGGTTATGAGTGGTAATGGCAGCATAGCGTGATGTGGAGGATTATTTTAATGAGTTTAAGTGCGAGGTTAGCGTTAATGATTGTTTCTGACTGCCAAACACGCGAGGCTGAAACATAACTGCATCGAATGAGGTCGGAATCTTTAAAAGTGTATTGATAAATGCTTTTGCGACGCAGTTGCAGTTGCACAAAATGGCTGCGGTTAAAAAATTAAAATGTGGCAACAAGTAATCAATCTTGTTATTGCGCATTATGTTAATTTCTTGTGACGGTTAGATTTAGAGCTTTTTATTAAGTTTATTGCGCTTTATTTCAGTTTATCGGGTTTTTATTGCACGCACAGGAATATACAGGGTAATACAATAAATTATAACTCATTTAAAATTAAAACTTATTATTTTTAATGTCGTTTTTCGTAAAATTATTTTTTTTAAGTTTTTTTTATTTAAAATTTTTTATTTGATATGAAACACTCTGTATATTTTGTGTTGAAGCGAATAAATGCGCATTAAAGTTAGACGTCGGAAAATACCGCCCCGTGATTGTTATGCCGGCAATTATTATTTTTATTGCGATCGGAAAACCGGAAATAAAATGGCGCGTTAATATATTTCGCACTCTCAGCACAAGAATTTATATTTTTTCCGCGCGCACATTGTTTACGCTTGAAAAGAAAAAATGATAAAAGAAAATGATAAACGTAAACGAAAAATTCACGGGCGCCAACCACGCGGAAAATGCGAAAATAGGAAAATGGAGGGACTTGAAAAGGTGCTAAGCAAAAATGCGCACCAAAACAAAACAAAATAAAAACATAAAATCTTGTACGAGTATAATCCAGGTACGAAAACACGATTTTTATGAAGTGAAATTTTGTTTGTAATAAAAAAAATCTTGTTGCGGTGGTAGGACTATAGATCTACACGTGGCACGTGCAAATGACTCGTGTTTGAGGACGTTAAGTAAATCGTGCCTGGCGAATGTGAATTTCCGCGCACAAATGACGAACAATATGTCATTGTTTCCTTCTGTTTACCTCCGCTTCCTTCTGTTCAACATCCTTCGACAACAAAACACTCCACCAGCTACAAATGGCGCATTTGTGCGTGATGTGCGTTTTTGTTATTTTCATGTTTTCCTTTATCTCGTGCGTTTATTAAATTAAACCCGAAATAGTGAGGTTAGGTTACTCTCTGTTTTCAACTGGTTCACAGCGCCCTCTATCGTAGCCCATACGTCATACACACATATACATATTAACATATATATTAACCTCTGCTGCCCCTTTGCTGCTCGAATCTCTCTCTGCTCGCTTATTCTCTGCTGTGCTCTGTGAATTAAATCGAAACATTTCTGTTCTTTCAAAAAAGACAATACTACTGGAAACGGACATACCTTCTACCTAACATTGACACACGCAAAAAACCTGTATGATTAATATCACGCCAGCGGTGCCGCCCTACTGATTACATTCGCATTGCAGGCGGAGAAGATGGAGCAGCGGCGCAACTTCCTGCATCCGGAGTCGGCGGCGGGGCTGCAGGCGGCGCGCAGTGTGCCGCCGGCATGCCCATGGCCAACGGGACCCGCCCTCCCGCTGCCGGCGCCCACGCCTCCGCAACTCCTCGGGGCCACGCCCAAGCCGCTGCCGACCATTCCCGCATCGGGGCAGAGCTGATTCTCGACGGATGCGCTGAATATCTAAGCGACGCCGAATACCTGATATAACCACACAACCGGAAACCGGAAACAAAGACTAGAAAATTAAACTAAACGTGAAACAAAAACTAAAAAGTGAAAAATTCAAATTTTGACCCAAAAGGATAACCGGAAGTAACTAAAACATATAAAAACATAAAAACGGACATTTGAGATGATGTAATTTAGATTTTAACGCTAGCGAACTTCATTGTAACAATATGCCTTATAGAATTATTGATTATTGATCATACAGGCCTGATAATTCTTCTATAATGATTAACGATAACGATAATTAGAGTTTTACGTGGAATATTACTCAAATACGCGGGCTACAGTGTGAAAATCGGCTATAACGTAGACACAAGATGGCGGCCTTGATGCGTGACAGGTTCTCGACCAATACAACTACTTGCTTCATCCATCATTTGCTCAAAACACTCAATTTTGACATCTACAACATTTTAAGGTTATGTTGTCACACAACCAAGGTCGCCACGGCAAACAAAATGAAGAGTTGAATGAATATTTTTTGAAATTAAACTCTAGGGTAACAAATCTAATAAAATTAAACATTAAACTCAAAACATTCTTCACTATTAACTAAAAATAAACTAAAAACTTAACGAGTAGTAAAAGGGTTGTAAAAAGTAATCAGTTAAACACCACTCATTAACTAAATAGATTAACTAAATAATTAAATAAAATACATACTAAAATCCTTATTGATTTTGAGGTTATCTTAGGAATTGAAATATCTCACCCAGATGGCGGTCGTGCTATGAAAGTTGCCTAACGCCTCACAAACAACTCGTATCTCTACAATATGATAAATACATACAATTTAAACGTTTACTAAACATATTTTAAAGAATATTATAAAACTTTCTTAAGAAGATTTAATAGGTACGATGACAGTTTACGAAATATGTTTGAAATATGAAAGTATTAATCGATGCCAAAGACGTCACAATCTTGTCGAACGAGCATTCTATCGAGCATTACTCACTCTCATTGTAAATACATTTTAATCTTTATGATAACATCAACATCAACACAATATACACACGCAACCCAACACACACACACATACACACGTAATTGTGTTAGTTTCACAACCGTACGAATTTAATAAGGATCATCAGTTTATAATCAAAATTTAAACGAGGTTAAATGAGGTTATGTGGGGTAAACATTGATAATATTGTAGAAATTACGCTCGAATTGAACATTTTAAACACTTTGATGAAAATTTAAGACATTTTTGGGAGATAGTTTCCGATTAGGTTCCGATTTTTCGTGTAGACAAACAAATCGGATAGGAAATTGTAATAAAATCGGAGTAGACGCTTAAAAAACCATTTTTTTTGTGAATAGACAAAGTTATGTTTCCATTTGATGATTATGCAACCAATTATACATATTTTATTTTATTTCATTGAGAAACTTTGTCTAAACAGTTTAAAATTGAGAAAAAACGTAGAAAATGATAAACTACTTTTGAGTATATTCGTAAAAATAGTTCCATAACCTAAAAAACTAACCTATATAGTTTTCGTTTCCCTCTACGATTGTTGAATGCGACGTGTGATTAAATTAAATGAAAGCAAAGAAGAAAAACCAATGCGCTCCTAGGATATACTGTTTACTCTGTACTTGTACTGTATAGATGCTGTTTTATGCGGGGTGTTCCTATAGAATTCGCATTCGAGCCGCTGACATAACCTAAAACTTTAATACATGTACCATGGCAGAAATGGCAGCCATTTTGTTCTCGCCTGTTACGGAAAACTGTCAAACACCAAAACTTTAATATTGCCTGTAATAACAAATTGTAAACGTACTCATCCTTCACTCACCACGTTTCACCTTTTTCACATCGGCACACTTTGATTCGTAGAAAGGTTTTCGTTTCGTTGATGTCGCGGTGGGATTCTGTATAATTATGTTAGGTGTGGCACTTGTGAGGGCAGGTGATAAAAGATAAGCATGAAACAATGAGCACTTGTAATTGTAAAAGAATGTTGAATAGCGTTTATTGAATAAGGCGTCTCTTAATCTGCGTCTGCTGCGCTCTGCTTGTACTTAGCTACTGCACCGGGCGCACGCAGTGCGCCGGTGTTGCGCGGGAAAAATAATGTAATGTATGTTGTGTTGTTGGTTGCCTACGTTACGCATTTCGCTAACACTCGACCGTCCTGACTCTCACTCGTCCTCGAGTGTGTATGCTGCGAAGCGGGCTGGAACCTTTGTGACTCGTGAGCTCTTCCTTACGTTTTTCACCTCGGCAGTGGCGCTTCCACTTGCCGGAACTTCTTCTCCTGCAACGTCGTCAGCTTGATTGGGTCGCCAGATTTTGAGCTGGCTGACGTGTGCTGTTGTCGCGTACAGCTTCCCAGGCTCCTCTTCGTTCAGATTGATTACGCGGTATGTGTCATTGGGGAGCACTTCATACACCTTGAGCGGTCCTCTGTAACGGGGTTGCAGTTTAGTAGAGTCACCCGTTGCAACACTATTTGTCTTCATAAATACAATATCGCCTATGTCATAGTGGACATTTAATAATCTTTTGGCGTCGAACTGGCGCTTGTAATTTTGCTTTTCCTTTTCCAGTCGAGTTCTGACTTTTCTTTGTAAATCGCTAGGGGACTCGTACGTTTCCTCGTTGACGGTGAGGCAACGTGTTACACCATCGTTTAATCTTGGTGCGTACCCAAACACTACCTCAAAGGGCGTTTTTCCTGTAGTCTTGTTAACTGCGGTGTTTAAATCTCGTTCCGTGGATTTTAGTTCCTTATCCCATTTGTTATCTTCGCTGCAATTTCTTAGCAGTGGTAGAAGCGTACGGTTCACGCGTTCTACTTGACCGTTAGCCTGCGGATGTCGTGGTGAATTGAGCGTGTGATTTATTCCATGCTGATTGCAGAACTCGGCGAAGGTGGACGAGGTGAAACAAGTACCACGATCGCTGATGATACGCTCTGGGGCTCCAAAGTCCTGCACGAACGCTGAGAGGGCCTTGATAACCTCCGGAGTTTTCGTCGTTTTGGTAGCGTGTAATCGGACGAATTTGGTTAAATTGTCGACGATTACTAGTACATAGCGTTTGTGAGACGTACTCTCAACAAAAGGACCAACGTGGTCAATATGGATGACAGCAAAAGGGCGGCGCCCCGAGGGAATAGGGTGAAGTTCGCCGGCCTTCTTCCCACTTTTGTTTTTCAGGATGATGCATTCAATACAACTGGCTATGTGCTGTTTGACATACTGTGTCATCTTCGGAAAGAAGTAGTGGCGTCGGATCTTGGCTACTGTGCGCTCGACGCCAAAATGTCCTTGTAGGTCATGATACTTTGTTACTAGGCTCTTTCGCATTGCCTTTGGGGCGACAAAGATCAACCTTTGAGTCTCATCCTCTTGAATTTGCTTATAGAGAATGCCTTGCTGAAGTACGTAACCATTTACTTCCGAACTCTCGCTTGCGGTACGTACCTGCCTGTTGAGTAACTCGATTTTGCGTTTGAGTAGCTCGTCAGATCGTTGGTACAGTACTATTTCCTCCTCCAAGGAAAGTATCGTGAACACGTTTCGGGTGATCAGATTCTCGACGGGAGTCTCACCCTCGTTTGACACTGGTGCGCGACTCAGCGCATCAACATGTATCATCTTTTCGCCAGGACGATGTTCTACCTTGAAGTTGTATTCACACAACATGTTGAACCACCTTGCTACTTGTGGATACTTTGTTTTGGCAGTATTCAGAAACACAATCGCCTGACAGTCGGTGACCACAGTAAACGGAATATTGATGAGATAATGTCGGAGTTTCTCGACGGCCCATACCACGGTCAGCAGTTCGAGTTTACTCGAGTGGTAATTACATTCAACATCGCTAGTCCTGCGACTTACTGCATAGACCAAGTGAAGTTTGTCATCGTGTTTCTGTAACAGCATAGCACCCAGGCCTTGGCTGCTCGCGTCTGTATGCAAGTAGGTCGGGCGTTTCGCGTCGAAGATTTTGAGTACCGGGCTCTGCGTCAGAGCGGTCTTCAAATCCTTAAAGGCAGCATCATGGGCAGACGTCCAAATGTAAGATTCGTTTTTGCGGAGCAATTTGTTCAAAATGGCGGCCCTGGAACCAAAATTGACTATAAAACGGCGAAAGAAATTAGCCATTCCCAGGAAACGCCGTAGCTGGTGGATATCTGTAGGCGCAGGATACTCCGAGATCGCTCGTAGTTTCGCGGGGCCAGGCTCGATGCCATCGGCACTCAGAATGAACCCTAAATACTCCACACGCTCCTGCATGAAGTAGCATTTTTCGATCCTCAGCGTTAATCCGGCACCTCTCAACGCCATCAGGGTCTTGGTTAACCTGACTCGCATGTCCTTCCAATCACGCGCAGGTATGAGGATGTCGTCAAGGTAGTACATCACCGTGTCATTACGGAGAGGTCCCAAAACCTTTTGCATTAGTTTTGAGAAGTACGAGGGGGCATTGGTCAAGCCAAATACCATTCTGGTAAACTCACCCGTTTGGTCCGGAGTAATAAAAGCTGTCTTTCTGCGTGCTTCTTCCGACAATGGTACCTGGAGGTAACCATGAGCCAAATCAAGTGTCGTGAAGTACCTTGCATCGCGAATCTGTGTCAGATGTTCATCCATGTCGGGCAGCGGAAATGGCAATGGTTCGGTCTGGTTGTTCAACCGTCGATAGTCGACAACCATTCGGTACTCCCCAGTCTTCTTCTTCACCAGCAGTACAGGGCTGGCGTATGGTGAGGTCGTGTCGGTGACTAGACCTGCATCTCTGTATTCGTTGATGATGGTGTTGAGCGCCTCGCGCTCATCGGCACTACATCTGTAAGGCTTCTGGCGCACGGGTTGACTGCCCGGCACCTCGGTGATGTCCATTTGTAGGACCGTTGTGCATCCTAACTCGGAGGAATCGATCGCAATGGTATCGCGGAACTCGTTGAGGAGGCCATGCAGCTCGTTCACTGTGTCCGTATCCAAATTGTCGTCCACGTTGATGACCTCGAGTGGAATGGGTTGCTGGCGGGGCTCAGCTTGCTCCAAATTCAGTACCTCGCCCCGAAACAGACTCGTGTTCTGAGATACATGAGTGGGCTCAACCGCCCAATTGATCAGTGGAAAAGCATGCGTTTCCGTACCTGAGACAACCTCTACCAGGTTTACGGAACGTGGTGGAATGTTCGCTTCCGTCGTCACTCGATTTGACGCGCGCTTCTTCGCCTCGACTTCCAAAGCAGAGAACGGATCATCACTACGGTACGTAAATATCAGGTCGTCATCAATGCGCATGTAGACGATAGACGGGTTCTCGGTGAATGGTCGACCGATGATGGCGTCCACGCTCTGAACGTCGTCCGGAACGATGCTAAAGACTATTTCTGAGAGAACCACACCATCGATGGCAACATCCGCCGTGACAAATCCGGGAGATTTGACAACATGGTTTGCGGGACCAAATGCCTTCAGCAAGGTCTCCTTGCGCTGAATGGTAAAGCCTGCGGCGATGGCTTGCGACGCCTTCAGGGTGCACTCCGAACTTCCTGGATCAATCAAGCTCTGGAACGCCATTCCGTTGCATGTGATTGGCTTCAAGTATTTGAGCACACCATCATTGTCTTGCGAAGTAATGATCTTTACTTGTCCATTACTCTTTGCGGCTGTCTCCGCTGGATGGGTTTCGGGCTTGGATAGTCCGCGTGGTTTTGGTGGGATAGGGCAATCTCTGGCGAGGTGTCCCTCCTTGTTGCAGTTGAAGCATTTCATGACTCGACTTGTAGTCGGCTGTGGCGGTGCTGGGGTTGCGGACCGCCCTACTTCTGATGGTTTCTTCATGGGCGCACCATAGGAATCCATCACACGTGGTGCATGGGTTGATTGACTCCTGGGAGAAGGAAACAAGCGCTCCTCACGAGCCTTGTGCACACGCAAATAATTCAGCAAGTCATGGTACAGGCTGTTGGTGTCGGCGTGACGTTGTGCCATCATGGCTGTGCACAGCTGCTTATCATACAACCCAATAAGCAGTTGTTCCTTCTTCTCCTCCAGGCTCAATTCCAACCCTGCACATAAATGAAGTTTGTTGTAAAAGTAATCAGTAATATCAAGGTCTTTGGATTGTACATAACTTTCCATCCGCTTCCAACGAGTAGCAAAACTGTCTTGTTGGATGAAGGTGTTGGTGAAGGCGGCTTCAAAATCGACTAACGTGTGCACGCCCTGCAGATCCTGGAACCATACGGCGGGTCCTCCAGCGAGATGCGTTCGCACAACCTCTAGCGCGTACGCGTCGTTCCACTGATGTAGTTGGCATTGGCGGCGTAGCGATGCCAACCACTCTGAGGCACTCTTCTTCGCGTCGAACGTCGTAAGTCCGGACTGTGCACCCGGTGCACTATGGTAGGTGGTGGCCGGTGGCGATGGGCGCTGCGCCATTGCCATCGACTGCATTAACGTATTGAACATTTGCATCACGCCGGCCAGGGTGGCGGCGTCCGTGCCAGGTTGTGGTGGCATCGGTTGTTGCGACGCACCAGCTTCGTTTCCATCATCGCCCATCGTGGATGTAGAACGTCTTTCGGCTTCTCGGGGATACTCGCGCGAATCGTCGTTGGCCGGGACGTTGGCCGTTACTCGTGCGTTCCGTTGTGCCCCCTTCGGCACGTGTTCTAACCTCCAAGATTTCCGTTGGCGCGGAAAAAACTAGGCTGCCTCGCGCAGGATGCTCTCAATAATGCTCAAGTCTCACGTCTTACCTGTTCATCCCACTTCTGAGATGTTAGGTGTGGCACTTGTGAGGGCAGGTGATAAAAGATAAGCATGAAACAATGAGCACTTGTAATTGTAAAAGAATGTTGAATAGCGTTTATTGAATAAGGCGTCTCTTAATCTGCGTCTGCTGCGCTCTGCTTGTACTTAGCTACTGCACCGGGCGCACGCAGTGCGCCGGTGTTGCGCGGGAAAAATAATGTAATGTATGTTGTGTTGTTGGTTGCCTACGTTACGCATTTCGCTAAAGTTAGGCTACTCCAACAACACCTCAGATGCCTCGCCGGTTAAGTTACAACTTTTAAAGGTTATATTGACATGTTGGTTGGTTTTGTTATTGAAAGTGCTCTGTTAAAAACACAAATTAATTAATAATGGAACCGTTTCCGTAAGTAAATCAACTTGTTAATAAATAAAGTATCAGTTAAACTAACAATTGTGTTATAATCAGATACTGGCGCAACATTTACAACACCGTTGTGGACGAATTCAAAGCAGTTAGTGTGAATTATGTCTCCGAAGTGCTTTCTGAAGTCAAGAAACCTCTGGTTGAAGGAATTCTTTTGTACAAAAAGTATGAACCAGATAGTTATACCACATGGAAGAATAAAGTTCAAGCATCCAAAACTGGTAACATTGATAAACTCATGAAAGATACCAGTAGTTCAATTGTAAGTTATTTATTTTATATTTAAACCTTAAAAATTTATCATAAAATCAACATTTAAGGATTTGGATTGTACTGTAACATATAGAATGTTCTGTAATTATATCATGTTTGAATACTATGGTAAAATCACAGATATTGAGGAAGCCACATGTGTTGAACTATACAGAAAACTGTTTATAAGAAAACTATGGCAGTTTGTAGCTGCAGAAAGAATGTTTCAATTAAAAACCATTCAGTTTCTTGTACAGCACTATAAAGAAAAGGGGCACAAGTTGTCCAAAGTCATTGATGACTTTGTAACTCAACAAACTTTAAAGACAATCAGAGAAAAATTGTTGGAACAGTTCAAAATGCTGATTATTGAAAATTCCAGCTCAGAAAACATTCTAAACAATCAGGATTACATTGAAAGAGACAGATCTGAGCTGATACAGATATTAATCACTTATATCTACACCATTGAACATGAGAAATTGGATGGTGATGAAATAGCAAAGTTTTTAGATTTGTTTAATCAACATGGATTTGCTTTGAATATAATTTTCAGTGGAGCTGAATGTGAATCAAGAAATTTAGAGTATAATACACTATTGATTGCACTAACAAATATTTGGTAAGTTATAATAAATTATTTAAGTTTTTAAGTGAAAATAAGTGTTTTTTTGTGTAAAACTTTAGGGAGGAGAGCAACTGGCCTCACAATTTCTCAAAACTAGAAAAAATCTTCAACGAAATCTCCTCAATGGTAAATTGTCATTCAGTACTCATTTTATGTTGGAGCATGATGTTACTAGCTCTTCCACCTGAAAAAATCCCTCCGCGTTATTTCTCTAAACTACCAATGCTCATCCTAGAATCATTGAATGAAGAATCTTTCAAGCATTTGTACAATCTGCTTGACAACGGATACAGAAACGTAAGTAAAACATATCCAAGCGGCCATTTGCATTTTGTTTCAATATGCCATTCAATATTCCAGCAATCAAAGCTCAATATTCTAATCTACAAAGCAGTTTACAAATTCTTCAAACAAATCTGCTCCCGCATCGATAACATAATGAAAATCTACGAAACAGAGAATAGTATACTTGTCCTTGCGAAATTAATGGAAATCCCTGAAATATGCGATGATGTAATGACATCCAACAATCAAGTTCGCAAATTATTTGACGCCACAATCAATCTTTACCCGTATGATACGAAATCTTTCGCGTTATTACTCACAACTCTCATAAAACATAAAAAATATTCAACTAATGTAGTTGAACTGTTGAATCACATTCAAATCTACAGCGAAATACCAGAAAACTCGAAAATTTCTGTACCGCTACAAACACCCGCGTATGAAATATCATTGATGCATAATCGAACGATTGTTCAATATTATGGCGACAATATTCAATATTCTTTCATGGCGAATCTAGAGATAGTCTTTCAGGATGTCTTGGACTATGCTACGAATCTACAGGAAGATGACATGCAGAAAAATGAAGAAATTAACAATGTGATTGTTTCCATGGATTTATTATGTCAACTTGTTGATAATTCTTCTGATATCTGGCAGGATGCACACTTTCAACGAGTATTAACATGTTGTAAAACAGTCCTAGCAAGGATAAACCTTGAATCCTGCAGAAGTCCAAGGTTAGTGAATGAAATTTTAAAATTATTCACGCATGGCATGCAGAGTCGCAGTAAAATGTTGTCGACTATTCTTTTGTCCACGTCGTGTTTACCCACGGCGACAGCACACATGCTACCCGTGCATCAATTGGTAAAGATTAATCTGTTGAATGATTGTCCTTTTCTACAATTGATCATGCGCGAACGCTCAGCGGGGAATTATCAACTTGTTTATACATATCTAGGATTTATCAAGGATTGTTTAGAGCACCAGCATGAAAATGAACGGTTTTTATTACCTGGGATGATTTTCATCATCCAACATGTCTTCCCTGTGCATTTAGGATGGAAGGAACCAAGTGTACATGAAAAGAATAAGATGTCCTATGATATTTTGACAATGTTGTTGAATATTCTGCATTCACATGCGATGAAACGCGCTGAGTGTAGTGATAGATCACTGCAGTTGATTTACGAGGTGTGTTTGCTCACATTGTTGAATAATGATGCGTTTGTGAAGACATTTTTAACAATTTTGAGATATAGAAATGAGTATATTGAACAGTTGATGATTAGAGAAGTGGATTGGGAGATTGGATGCACCAGGGATGTTATTTTAAGTGTCCGACAGGCTGTAACAATTGTTTTGTGGTTGTTTAATAATGTAGAGTATCAAGAGTTGAAGAAAACTGTCTTCTGGCAGTATTTCAGTTATAGCGGCGTGTGTTTCCCGTCGGTGTTGAGGATCATCTGCGAGTATATCAATCATAAGTTTGATTCTGTCTTACCGAAGTTGGCATGTCGACTGTTTCGCAGGATATCAATGGTGAGTACAATTTTAAGTTTTTACAAAATGGCGGATGTAAATGTCGATTTAACAGGATTCTAGTATACCGGTCTTAGCTTGCATGGAAATCGACAACTATCAAGTACAAAGCATGTTCCTTGAACGTTTAAGAGATCCATTGGAGGATGATGAAATGCGCATTGCTCTTCTTGAGTTAATAACAACGTGTGTAATGACACAAAACGGCATGACAGCCGCTTTCTTTAACATGCACGTTAAGAAAGCAATCGATAATATTCTCCCGGAAAAAAGCGATGAAACAATAATCAATTTTCTTGGAGAATATATCGATAGTATTGCACAATCACCTGAAACATTGCGCAGTCCTGTCCAGTCAGCCATCTTGACTTTATTTCACACTCTATGGAAAGAAAAGCGTTTATCTTTGATACAAACTTTAATAACCCAGGATACTTTCTGGAAAGCACTGATAAATCCCCTAGATAAAAATTATGACTTCAAGAGTGATACTTATTATCAAATTTTGGACATCCTAGCAATGGAGGCTTATTATACTAAACCTAATGATCTTGCAAAAGAATTACAAGAGTTGTTTTCGGTTAAACTCAATCTCTTAAAGAAGATTTACACATTAGTTTTGCATTCTTTGCGAAAATATGATGATGATGATATCACTGGCGTGCTCAAAATTCAACTTGCATGGAAACGATTCATTATTCTCATGATTCGTAATCATAAAACAGTGATTACTGAAGATGCCAAGCTGTTTTTGATGAAAAGCACTCTCGAAGGTCTTTTTGATCATGTGCAGTCTCCGAAACACACATCAATCATCTCCAACTGGTTGGATTTGTACATGTATTTATCACAATTCGATGTATCTGGTTTTGATACAGAAGATAATTTCCGTCTTCTTTGTTCATGTTACAAACATATTGAAGATGTCTATCTGCGCATGAATAAGAAGTCTCGGGAAGCAGTTATTACAATTGTTATCAAATCAATCAAACAATTTCACTCGCTTTTCAGTAAACCGTGTGTGATTGTCAATGATTATCTGTTTGTTGTGCGAAAATTGATTGAGAAGGAATATGATGATGTGATGCATCGCCAGGGCACAGAACTAAAGTGTTCAGATCATGTTGTGTGGCATTTGATTGTTATTTTGGGGAATCACATGCTGGAATATGAACATCATCACAAGTGGTTGTTCTTTACGCAATTACTGCATAAAATCGCATCCAGTTTAGGATTTTATGCGAGTAGTGTGGTTACAATGCCGATTGCGAAGTTATCGGCAATGTTTTTGTATAAATTGGCGAAGACTGGATTGGTTGATGAGTTCAAAGGTTTGGATTTTGCTGATGTGTATCAGTCGTTGAAGAGTCCAAGGGAGTTGGCGAATTATTCAGCATTACAAAACAATGTAAGTGGTATTTTTTGATAAAGTGCTTAAAATATTAATGTTTTAATTCTATTAGGGTAAAAATCCAGATATTTATTTGGATTACTGGCTGACCTATTCATATCTCGTGAATTTAAAAGTTGTACTCCTTGAGAAACTTGGTTTTTGCATGTTTAGGAAAACTCTGGACTTTGTACACATGCAGAGGGACGAATTATTTTATTTCTTTAAACTTCTGCAAGTAACTGTTAATCCCACAGCGCTGAAATTGATTGCTAGTTGTATTAGACTATTCAATCAGTTGCTCCGATGGGATGGAGCCATGGACTTTTCAACTATTACAGCATATTATGTAAGTATTTTGCAGTTTATTCACGAAACATTGACATAAAAACGGTTAAATTTATAGGAAATGTTGCCGGAGGTGTTAAACTCTTGTATAAATATCATTTTGAGGCCTAAAATGATCAAATTCTATGTGCCTTATGAGATTGTCAACTTGGAAATGCTGGAGAGTGTTCCCTTAGTTTATGTTACTACTATAATGGATGGGTAAGTAACATTTAAATGTATTTTTGCAAGAAATTAACAAATTTCTCATTTTTTCTGCTTAGAATACTTGATATAATCTCAATTTCATGCCGAGGACTTCTACAAGTGTCTCCATCATTAGAAAAACTCATTCACCGTTCATCACAACAGAAAACAACCCAGCAATTGCAAATTGACTGGGATTTCCACATTCCTAACGTTTACAATCCCAATGAAAACATAAAATCGCTCACATTCGGTGCTCTCATGTGCGTTGTGCATTACCTAAGCAAAGCACGCCAGCTCAATCCTCAAACAAGAATCCTGCTAAAAAGGATGCGATGCTATACATTCCAACAATGGTTTTGGAAGCCGAGAGTGAAAAACGCCTTCCCATCCAAACTGAAATTTATATATCGTTCCTATGTCCAGACTACATTGAACCAGCGTCAATTGAACCTTTCAACTCAATTCATCGTTTCGCCACCTCTGAAATCTACAGTTTAACATCGCCATGGCTTAGCCAGATGGATCAAGACCGAACAACTATCGCGCTTGAATTGGTAAATACTTTATTGGCATCTCAAATATTCAAAACTGTGTCGATGGTTATTTGTGATCATAACCAGAAGCAACAGATGCACATGTTAAAACGCGAATTGTGTTCCGAACTGCATTTCTTCCATGATTTCGTGCGGAAACACAGCGCGCATTCGAATAAGTATGAGGTGGACGGTAACCGCATTGTTTGCATTAAAAAATCTAAGGATAAGTCTTTCACGAGTCAGGATTATTTGATGATGTTATCGCATTGGTTTATGGAAATTTGTTGCCTTACGCCATAAATTGAACATGTTCTAATTACACATCTATTTTATTATCGTCAAAATATTTAAAAATAGGCAAAATCTGTTAATTTTAAGACTTGGGTTAGATTCTGGTGTTGATTGTGAATTTAACATGCAAAATGTGTGAAGCCAATTATGATTGATTGATTTATCGTAAAAATTAAGCTTAGCAGCCGAAAACAAAATGGCGTATACCAGAATCTAACCACTAACTATGAAATAATTTAAATTTAGTGTACAATAGACTTAATTTTTGTATGAAATTATGTGGAGCAGTTTAAAGCAAGTCCTAGGAAGTCCTCGAAGCCTATGGTAATTGTTCCAGCCATATTTGTATCTCTTTTTCTGAACTCTTCAGTAAACTTTTGTATTTGCACACATACAACAATGAACTGATCAACAGTCATCACTCTATGTGACTGCACATCACTCTTCTTGATCAGCAGAGTGATGAAATCCGGTGAAAAACGGAAACCCATTTGTTGCAGAGCTGGATGTATAGAAATAAGTTGATTAGAAGTTAATATTTTTGTAAAATGTAAATATTTACCTTGAGCAAGTTCAGCCTCTTCAATATTTCCAGACTGGTCTCTATCATATGTTCTGAATACAGTCAGCCATTGATTGATGTATGCATACAGTTGCTGGAATTCATTTACATCAATTGTTCCACTTTTGTCATGATCAAACATGCCAATCATCAGAGCACAGGCAGAATCTGAGAAGTTTTTGCCTTGGCCATTCACAAGTGCAGCTTGTAATTCTTTGGCGTTAATTGCACCAGATCTGTCCCTGTCGACGGCGTTGAACCATTGTTGAACCTCAGGGTTTACACCACCTGGAGGTGCTCCATATCCAGGCTACATTAATAATTAAGATATGATGATGATTTGATCAAATGTAGTTTTTAATTATTGTAGTTGTATATTACCTGGCCGTACATTGTTAAAATGAGGTAATTTTCACTTGAATTTAGGAGATTGGGTGTGTTTTGTTTAGTTTATCTGTTGAAAATAGAAACAGCTCAACAGTATTTCTAGAGATCAAATTTATTGGAGGTTGGAATTTATTGGAGTGGAATGATTACGTTTGGAATGAGTAGAAGATTCATCAAGGTTACACAAATAATTGGTAACTGCCTATGTTTGGAGGGGACATCCAAAACCAGGAAGGAAAAGATTAATTTTAATTTTTGTTTTATCAATATTCATTACTCATACATGATTTTCAACAACATTTTCAGCTCTTGTAGCATTCTAGGGAAGAGCCTATCTTTTCTATGCTTAGCTCATAAACGTATTGTCAAAATATTGTTTATTAATTAACTACAAAATTTCTCAGTATGCTTTTCCCATATAAAATCATTTTTATACGGTGGCTCTCATTGAAAGAGTTTTGAATTGTATTCTTGTGATACTAATGCGCATGGAATACAAATTGATACATAGTTACCACGCATGTTTGTGTACCTACTATCTTTCCAAACATTTGGATACAAACAAACCATAACATCTATTGCGTCTCAGATTCTATTCTAGAACACATGTTTACTTCTTCTCCCTTGTAAAAATGGACAACCTACGTTTTATTGTCAATGAGCTTAACAAACTCTTCGATGCAGACTATAACATGATATCATTTGGATCTCTTTCGGAAACTGAACTGCTCGAAGTCCTAATGAATGTCCTCAGCATGGTTGGAGCTACAGCCAAAGTAAGCTTTAAATATTTACTAATTTGCAAACTTGAATAAAGTAATGTTTATCTTAGATTGATGTACAAAAGAATAAAGAACAGTCCATAATGAACATCCTTATGGCATTACAATCAATCAAATATGTTCCGGAGAAAGACATTCCTGCCAGTGAGTTCCGCGAAGGTTTGATCATGGGACGTCGGAACATCATCCATCCGATTCTTTTCTGGTTACTTTCCAACACTGAGAAAGTCAAGAAACGAGTTTATTTTGCTACGTGAGATTGATAATCGCTTTTTCTAACAATCAGTATTAATTTCTATTATTAAAGATTTGTAGAAAGAGTTGAACTTCCTCCTGAGTTACTCGGAGATCCAGATATTGAACAAATGAACATCGCTTATGAAGAACTCATCGAGAAGTTCTACGTGGCTTACAATGAAAACACCCGTGATAAAAAGAATGCTGCAGAGTCGACAGAATTACAGGAGGATACCAAAAGATGTCGGCCGATATGTCCTTCTTGGTGCAACGTCTGGATATGCAGAATGACAAACTAAAAAATGTCCCAAATCGTGAAGGGTTGATCAATTCTGTTAAGTCTTACAGAAGCGAAGTCAAACAAAAGGATAAGCTTACTGATCAGCTGCGTGATCAAAAAATCTGTTAGTTCAAATGAATTCTGATATAAAGAGCCTTCAAAGCACTATTAATCAAAACGCTGGACGTCGTCCGGAAAATATGGATCCTATCCAACAGATTCGCGAAGAGGTGCAGATCAACAAGATATTGATGGAGGGACAATTACCTAGGGAGCATGAGGAGATTATATTGGAGTTGAAAGCTTTTGAAAGAGTCGCGCAGGAAGTTGAACCTACTTCGGAAGAAATTGACACTATCAATACTGAGGTTAGTACTTATTTGAAATTGTAGGACTATAAACATCTGACATGCTTGTTTATTGTTGTTAATATCCAGATGGAGGATTTAAGTCAACGAGTACAAACTCTCCTCAATAAAAAATTGACTTTGACCAACACCAATGATGATCAACTGCTCCCCTTCAGGAATCAAGCAACTATCATTGCAAATAAAAAGCAGGAACTTTCAAACTTCATCATGAAAGTGAAAAATAAGAACGAAGCTGTTTTAGAACAGATTAATCAGAAGCTAGGTACATTGAGAGAGTTAGTGGGAGGGATTTGTTGCATGGTGATGAATTGAAAGTCTTTATCAGTAACCTTAGAGAAAGGAGCTTGCTCTACAAGAAGTGCAGGTCTTACTTACAAGGTTTACAAGCCGTCATTGGTAACGCAACTAGAACATTAGAGATTCTCCAGTTGGAAGATCCGACTGTTGCGGAGGCAATTAAATTGGCGAAGGAGAGACCTACAAATGAAACTCCACAGACGGATGATATCGCAGAGATGAGATATCTCTGCAAGAAGTTGTACCAAGAAACAAATCAGATGAGGGCTGAGTCATCCAGGATCTACGATGAGCTGGTACAACTGCGCACTGATTTTGAAGGCTTCAATGATGAATTCTATGTTGCTAAGCGAGAATTTGATCATGCAACAGATAACATTACTGGAACCATTGAAAAATTGGAACAATCTTTTGAAGATTTAGAGGAAAGCATTAAGCGTGAGAAAGACGAGTGGAAAGAAGCAACAAAAAGCATGGAAAGTTACGAGTTGATTGTGAACAAATATAGTGAGGAAGTGTCATCCACCCAGGGTGGTGTTAATATCATTCAACAGCTGACCGGAAAGATACGTGTGCATGAGAAGATGAAAAAAGACATGGAAAACCAACTGGAACGCGTCAAGCAGATGAAGGTTTGTTAAAATCATCATTATCATTATTAAGGTCATGTTTTTTTACTTGTGTATTCTAGGGGGCGGAACAAGAGGAAATTGAACAACTACAGCGTATCAAACAAATGATTTTATTCAAGTTACAACAACCGGCACGTTGAATTTTGAGAAATTTAACAATGCATTTTATTCGAACCCTTTAAACCCTTTGTAAGTGCCCTAAATGCTCTTCGAAACAATTTTATAAAAATTTGAAAATAAGGTGTGGAAAATGCCCTATGTCTCTTAAACAGATATACTTTCTACAAGTTTCTCAACGCCATGTTATAGTCTAAAAGGTCCTTTTTATGATGCATTTTATTCCAATTCCCTAGACCCTTTGCAAGTGCCCTAAAATTCTCTTCAAAAGTTGACATTTTTAAGAAAATTTTAAAACATGGTGTGGAAAACGCCCTGTACCTCCAGAACTAATATATTTTCTTCAAGTTTCTTGGCGTCATATTATAGTCTAAGAGACTCTTCTTGTAATGAATTTTATTTCAACCCCGTAAACCCTTTAGAAATGCCCTAAAATGCTCCTCAAAAATTGACAATTTTATTAAAAGTTGAAAACATAGTGTAGAAAACGCCCTGTATCTCCTGAACTAATATACTTTCTCCAAGTTTCTTAACGCCATATTATAGTCTTAGAGACCATTTCTACAACGCACTTTATTCCAATCCCCTAGATCTTTTAGAAGTACCTTAAAACGCCCTTTAAACCTTAGCAATTTAATAAAAATTTGAAAACATGACGTGGAAAACGTCTTATATCTCCCGAACTAATTGACTTTCTTGAAGTTTCTCACCGTCATATTAGAGTTCAAGAGTCCCTCTACACGATGCGTCCCTTTTTAACCCTTTAGCCCTTCCGGAAGTACCCTAAAATACGGTTTAAAAATCGCCATTTTTGTCCAATAAATTTTATTTTTTGGTCGAAAAACAGCGTCAAAATCGTATTCACAAACATTTTCGGTCGAATAATAGGGTCGAAATTATTTTTATAAATTATTTTTGGCTGAACAACAGTGACGAACTTTTTTCCTAAACATTTTCAGGTCGAAATCATCGAATTGGTGATTATCAAAGAAACTAATAGAGCTAGGAAAAAAAGAATTTCATTATCTTGATCCGTGAGGAATTCACAAGAAGAGAGAATATGTTTTGAAAAACGACCAAATTTGAATGAAAAAAATTAAAGAAATGTTTTGTCATAAAAAAATTTAAGTTGTTTGTAAAGTAGGTTTACGATCGAGATGTTTACGTGATAACGTCTTATTCGTGATATAAGTTTTGTTTGTTGCAATTGTTGTAACACTTCACTTGCACTTCACATTTTGTTTTACTGTTAGGCTCCCCGCACACTACAAACTTTTTATCGGCCGATAAAACATTCAACGAAAACTTAACCGCACGAGAAAATCTCCATTCGTTTGTATGCCGCTAGAGTGAGAGAGACGGAAGATCGGTCAACTCACTCGAACGCTATGACTGGCACGGAATGACTGGCAGCGCTCGAGATGAGACGGGAGATCGGTCCGTCTCTCTCTGGTTATAACGAGAGGGGGGTCGGAATGACTGGCAGCGCTCGAGATGAGACGGGAGATCGGTCCGTCTCTCTCTCGTTATAACGAGAGGGGGGTATACCTGCGATCGACCTCGCTCGTGACACAATGCTTCTGAACCGGTCACCCGTAAAACGATTTTAAAGACGTTATCACGTCAAAAAGGCAAAAGATTTCTCTTTTTATGTCGAATGCCAATTTCATTCAAATTTGTAAATAGAAGCTAAATGGTAAAAGTTAGCTAAAGAAGTTACTTAATGTGTGTGTGTGTGTGTGTGTGTGCGCGCGAGTCCAATTTCAGGTCGAAACTAATGGTAAAATCGGTTTACATTATTCGGATCGCAGAATGCCGAGGAGGCTGAAAATTTTCGCGGGTATTTCGACATAATTTGAATGTAACTTTCTCTCTTCTTTTTTCTCTCCCGTTCTCTCTCGCTTTCCCTTGTTCTCTCTTACTCTTTCTCACTCTCTCTCTCTCTCTGCATGGGCGGTCGTTCGCGTCCAATTTCTCTTTTATGAATGTTTTTATTAATATTCACAGTTCTGGCAAGGACCTATTCACATGGGTATATAGTGTGTATTTTGTTTAAATTTTAACATAAGAGTTTGGTACCATTTCAAAATATTTAAGGTCATGTAAAATAAAAAAAAATTCAGTATTTCTTTTGTCCCACCTTTTACACAAGATATCTAATTCTATTTTTGTGTTTACCAAGTACGGTATTGCTTGTACAACGTGGGAAGACCTAACCTCAGTTTGATTATTATTAGTTGAAGTATGAAAGAATTATTGGGAGTGCATCGAAGATATAAAGAAGATCGAGGATGATTCAAGGATGCAGTGTGGAACAGAAAATTGTCTTAAAAAAATTAACTGTAAGTAGATAAAACCTAATATCCTATCGAATAAATTAAAATATCTTTGTGTTTTCAAGGACTAATTTAGGCTTGTTAGTCTGACATTGTTGAAGGACCATTCGTGCATCACACTGTAAGCATTTAATTTCTTTATCATTTTCCTCAATAACTTTTGTGATTATCTCACAAATTGACCCCCAAAATTGCATTTTTCTGTTCGAAGGACTAATTTTTGCTTGTTTTAGGGATTTTGCACCTGAGTCTGACATTGTAGAAGGACCATTCTTCCATCAGATTGTAAGTAATTAATTTCTTTATCATTTTCCTATATAACTTTTGTGATTATCTCACAAATTGACCCCCAAAATTGCATTTTTCTGTTCAAAGGACTAATTTTTGCTTGTTTTAGGGATTTTGCGCCTGAGTCTGACATCGTAGAAGGACCATTCTTCCATCAGATTGTAAGTAATTAATTTCTTTATCATTTTCCTATATAACTTTTGTGGTTATCTCACAAATTGATCCCCAAAATTGCATTGTTCTGTTCGAAGGACTAATTTTTGCTTGTTTTAGGGATTTTGCACCTGAGTCTGACATCGTAGAAGGACCATTCTTCCATCAGATTGTAAGTAATTAATTTCTTTATCATTTTCCTATAAACTTTTGTGATTATCTCACAAATTGACCCCCGAAATTGCATTTTTCTGTTCGAAGGACTAATTTTTGCTTGTTTTAGGGATTTTGCACCTGAGTCTAACATCGTAGAAGGACCATTGTTTATGCTTGTGTGTTTTCTTTAATAAAGAATATTTTTTAAGTATTTCTAATTATAATTATTTCTGTTATTTCTACCTGATCACGTATTTAACGATCCCTTAAACCATTTATTTTGAAAAGTGCATGCTAGTGCCATCTATCAATTAGAAACTACAACAACCGAAAGTTATGAGCTTCGGCCCGTCGCCACTAGAGGCAGCACCTTACTAGTTGCCGCGAAAACTTTATCAGCCTTCTCAACTTTCTGCGCTCCTAATATTCCATCTTTATTTTGTCGACTCTGTGAGGCAAAATGACACAAAATTTTGACTCGAAACAGTCGAAACTCAGGTTTTGTTATTCGGATCGCAGAAAGGGTGAGGAGGTAAGTAAATAAAAGAGGCGGTAACTAGTAATGGCGGGTAAAATGAATGTTTAAAAATCTTTATTCAGCAAATTCGGTTTTCGAATTCTGAAGGAGCTCGACAACTAAGAGGGCTAGAAAATTAAGAACTACATAATCTTGATCCTTGAAAAATTCTCTACAAAGTGGCATCATTATTGAAAAATCATCAAAATGGCACAAAAAATTTTTAAAGAAAAGATTTTATTAAAAAAATGGCAAAAGATTTCTCTTTTTTATGATAAAAATTAAAAGTTAGAATTTTGAAACAAATTGAAATAATATATATAATAATTTGACGGGAACTGTCTATGTCCACTTTCTGCGTTCCTAATACTACAGACTGATGAGCAGCAACATTTCAGCAATTTTCTCGACAAATTTTGTCGACAAATCCATTGAAATTGGTCACAAAATTCTTTTGAATATTAGGATCGCAGAAAGTGCAGTAGGCTAAATCTCTTGAATAGCGGCGTAGTTTTGTTACTCGTGGATAGATGACACTACTGATACCGTTTTTAAATTAATATTGATACAATATTAGAGATTTTGAACTATTTCCAATATCTAGCAGTGGCATTTCCATTAAAGTTTAAGGGATTAATGGATTAATTAAAGGAGTAACGATGTTGTGAGCAATGTTCTCCGTTGAGAACAAATAACACAATAAAAATTTATAGTTAAAAATATAAAACAACAATTTTATTCAAACATGTAGAATCACAAACTCAATTTCACAGTATATACAGCATTTTTAACAATACAAGCAAGAAAACAAGATAATAATATGCAATTAGATAATGCTCTTTTCATACCTCTTAACAAAATACATAAAATTATTTCAATATCAGCTTCAAAATGTTGTAAATTCATTCAATCGTATTTGGAATCATCATCATCACCGGTAATCTAATCTTCAATTTCTTAGACACTATAAACCAGAATGAATAACAGAATAGTAAAATATAAAATATTATAAATTGCCAAAATTTAACATACGTTCTTGGTATTTTATTCCAGTTGACACATCCATTTTCAGTAATCAGAACATCAGCCTCAATACAGTACAACGGAACCTCTCCGGTTGGTCCTAACTGGTAAACTTTGCCATCTCAGGATTAGCCAGCCAATGCTTCATCTCACAACTGAAAAATATTTATGTAAATGAAATATAAATATACATTAATTAAAAAATTAATTATTCTTACAGGATCCATAAAGAATTCCATTTAGGGCACCGTGCGAAGGTAGCGGTAGAAGTGACTCCCATTCAAAGCACCGTACAATTTAGTGCAATAACGGCGGTCCCACGATATTGCGTTCGGCGGCTAAAACACAAAAACACACAAAATTAGCCGACAAAAAAAAACAAAAGGGGCATTTTTGTAGGTTTCCCGGGGGATAAACCCACAAATTATACATGAAAATTAAAAGGAATTTAAATATCTATAATTTGGTGAAAGAACGGTTATCCTACGACAAGGCGTTCGCCCGCTTAACACTAAAAACAAAAAAATTCGATGACCAAAAAACACAAAAATGGCATTCTTGTAGGTTTCCCGGGGGTCAAACCCACAAGTTATACATGAAAATTATAAAGAATTTAAATATCTATAATTTGGTGAAAAAACTGTTGTCTTACGACATTGGGTTCGCCTGCTAAATGCTAAAAATCAGAAAATTAGCCGACCGAAAACCACAAAAAGGGCATTTTTTGTAGGTTTTCCGAGGGTCAAATCCACAAGTTATACATGAAAATTATAAAGAATTTTAATACTTACAATTTGGTGAAAGAACAGTTGCCCCACGACATTGCGTTCGCCCGCTAAACAGTAAAAACCACAAAATTAGCCGACCGAAAAACACAAAAAGGGCATTTTTGAAGGTTTCCCGGGGGTTAAACTCACAAATTATATATGCAAATTATAAAGAATTTACCTACAATTTGGTGAAAAAGCTGTTGTCTTTCGACATTGCGTTCGCCCGCTAAACACTAAAAACCACAAAATTAGCCTACCAAAAAACACAAAAAGGGCAGTTTTGTAGGTTTCCCGAGGGTCAAACCGACAAGTTATATATAAAAAGTATTAGGAATTTTAATACCTTCAACTTGGTGAAAAAACTGTTGTCTTACGACATTGCGTTCACCCGCTAAACACTAAAAACCACAATATTAGCCAACCGAAAAACACAAAAAGGGCATTTTTGTAGGTTTCCCGAGGGTCAAACTCACAAGTTATATATGAAAATTATAAAGAATTTTAATACCTATAATTTGGTGAAAAAACTGTTGTTTTACGACACTGCGTTCGCCCGCTATACATTAAAAACGACAAAATTTGCCAACCAAAAAACACAAAAAGGGCATTTTTGTAGGTTTCCCCAGGGTCAAACTCACAAGTTATATATGAAAATTATAAAGAATTTTAATACCTACAATTTGGTGAAAAAACTGTTGTCTTACGACACTGCGTTCGCCCGCTAAACATTAAAAACGTCAAAATTTGCCGACCAAAAAACACAAAAAGGGCATTTTTGAAGATTTCCCGAGGCTCAAACTCACAAGTTATATATGAAAATTATAAAGAATTTTAATACCTATAATTTGGTGAAAAAACTGTTGTCTTACGACACTGCGTTCGCCCGCTAAACATTAAAAACCACAAAATTAGCCGACCGAAAAACACAAAAAGGGCATTTTTGAAGGTTTTTCCACGAAAGTTTATCGTACGATTAGTATTTTTTGCATAGTATTTTTTATGTACAACTTCTGTGGCTCACTTAACATAAAAATTTCTGTAAAGGTTACTTCACACCTTGTATGTGTGTAGAACAATAAAATATTGCTTATTTCTATTTCAGTGCCACGGTGATGCATTTATAACACTGCACACTCAAAAATGGAAATAATAATTATATAAGTTATTACATTAATAATAAAAACAAAAGTAAAATTTTATATATTTATGTTTGATGTACTATATACTTCGGGTGCATTCGCGTTGGACGCTTACGCGCTGTGAGCGTGCTTACATGTCATTTTCATCGTTCGACTTGGCGCTGTGAGTGTCACATAAGTACGCTCATGGCTGAGTTCGTAGCACAGACTTCGCGCTCATTTATGCTCACGCCACAGAGGTAGGGCAGCGAAAGCGTGAGCGCCAATTTTTATTATCTGTCAAAACGAATGCAACTTGAGCATAAGCTAACCAAAAAATTTCATTTATTTCTAAATTGTTAAATTCTTTACAATCCCGCAAAAATGGCAAGCAGTCAACCAAAATTAATTTCTGTTGAGCTAACTGATCCAGAAAGTAATAAAATTTACAATTAAATTAAAATTTAAAAAATAAAAATTTAAATTATTTGATAAACAGTTGCCATGTTGATGATTATTGACGCTCACAATATCCAAAACGAACGAAATTTATTTATTGATTCTAAGCGCCTATAGGCCATCTCGAACACTAAAAATTTGTGCTTATAAGCGTGAGCGCTCACAGCGCGTAAGCGTCCAACGCGAATGCACCCTTCGTGTACTATGTGTTACGTTTAATTGTGTCAACCTGCCAAGGCTCAGTTAACGCATTCTTGGTGTGTAAAGCGCACTTTACACTTTATAAAACACGTTTAAAAGCCGGTAAAGTTATATTTATTCGTATTTTAGTATTACAGTATTATAATTGTGACCCAACACTTTTTAAAATAGAAATAAATAATTGTATGAATAATTTCGTTAACTTAATAACAACAAAAATGAAATTTTATTTATTATACTTTTTATTTCATACTTTTTAACTTCCAAGGCGTAGTTGACACAAACGTAGTGTGTAAAGGTTACTTTACACTTTATATTGGTGTAGGATAGTAAAGTATTACTTATTTTCATTTCAGTGCTAGAGTAATATATTTATAACATTACACATCGTAAAATTAAAATAAATAATTTGATAATAGCCACCTCCTATAGCCACCCTGCTACGGACCACCGAATGAAACTCAACTAAATTAATAAAACCCCTCTTGCGCTATCAGAATCCGATGAAAAATTTGAATATTTCACAAAGGTTTTCCGCAATAGGATCCGTTTTCCATATTACCAGCAAGTGAAATATACCCCCCCCGCGATTTCGCAGGCTATTGCAACACGCAGGTGAAAGACCTTCAATCATTTAACCGAATAATAATAACCTATAACTTAATTATAAACTTACCAATGTAGCGCTCATCGGATTGCAAGGGTACGGCAAGTACTGTAATTAAAAGAAAACATAAACGATAAATCCTTTTATTTTACGATAATTATAGACTTTCATCAGGTAAGTGCCTCAATAATTCAATAAATAAGTTAAAACGAAAACATTCCATACAATGGAAAACAAACTTTCTGTGCTGAGTATCGCCATGGTCAGATAAAAGTTACTTACTCAAGCTGAAATATGTTTTCGGTTGATCACACAACCGACAATAAGACAACTAAGTCGACTGATAACCGAATATAATTCAAATTTATAAAATAGAAATCCGATAAAACGATACGCATTGCGCGAAATACCTCTGGATACGCTAGAGACCGGCACGAAACTGGTGGCTGCAATCCATCGATAGCGCTTACCGAAACTGCAAAACTGCACAAGCAATGATGCAACAGTTCACAAT